ATGTGAACTAAGCTGGTTAATTTTATCCATCACATTAATATGGGCATTCCCAGTAGGAAGCGGGCAGGAATGGAAACTTTGGTTTTAATTATGAAGGAATATCTTTCCCAGAAATTGTCCTCCCCCTCTCCTCATTCTCCAAGGCAACCAAGCTGACCGGCTCTATGTGTCATCAGCCAAAGCAGGGTCACGTGACAGCGCGAGCTGTCAGGAAGATGGCGAAGGGGAGGGGCTTGCTATAATGGGCAGGCCGTGGGCATGACGCCACGAGCTGGGCACACGGTTGAACCACACAGAATCAGAGTTCTTAGGAGGTGAGGAAAGAGGGATGGTCGTTGGATCGGTAGGAAATTGACAGTCTCAACCACCCTGTGCGGTTCATTCATTCATTCAGTTAACATTTTTAGAGCACCATTAAATGCCAGAACCTGTCTTTGAGAGCAGAGATCTCTGCCCCCATCCAGGGCTTACATTCTTGATGGGCTGGGAATGGGACAATGTAAAATGTAAGCTCCACAGTATTTTAGAAATTGACAGATTATTTGAAGGAAAATGAAGCAGAGAAGGAGAACAGAAAATAGCAGGACTCTAAGTCTGTTTGCAGTTTGATATTGGCCAGTCCAACATCTAAGGAGGGGTATTGGACCCACGGCATGGAGGATCTGAAGGAGTTAAGCCTCGCCTGCACATCCACAGGGAAGGGACATGCAAAGGCCCTGGGGGCAGTGGTCTCGTGGAAGGACACCAAGGCAGTGCTGATGGCAGGGAGTGAGAATCTAGTGAAGGGAGGTCAGAGGATGTGGGGCAGGGGAGCCTCTGTGCATTCCAAGGGCCACTGCAGTACAATAGGAGCCATGGGAGGGTCCTGCTGGGAGAGGCCTGTCATCTCACTCTGGCTTCAATAGGATCACTCCAAGTGCTTTGCCGGGAGTGAGGTAGAGCCCAGTGTGGAAGCTGAGAAACCAGTACTCAGGCTATTGCAGTAATCCAGGCAAGACGGCTGAGTGCTGGAACTAGGTGGTAGCATTCTTTAACACATTAGAAAATATGGAAGTCAAAATGTCTCATCCCAGTATGTGCATCCCTCACTGCTCCTATCGTGCAGAAGCCAGAATGGAAAGAGCAGCAGGCCAGTGCTTGACAGTGACATGGCCAGAAAACGTGATGCTGTCTGAGGCTGACACACATAGAAAGGTTCTGGTTTGCATCTAGAGACCTCTGAGTATGCAGGGTGTGTGCATGACCACAATGTGGGGGTGGCTGAGGCTGAGGACAAATCAGGGCAACGACCATGTTGGAGGTGTAGTGTCTCTGCCTTAACCTCTCCCCTACTAAAGGAAAGAAGGAAGCAAAGAGAAAAATTGGGACTAGCAGTTAGTGTAATGTCTATGTTGCTGAACTCCCATGTAGCTGACTGTGGTTCGAGTCCCAGACCCGGTGGCTTAAACTCACGCTGGGTGCATGTGCATGTGTGCCCAAGATCCTGAGAGGAGAACGGAGGAGAAGGGATTGTGGCTTGGCCTTCCCTCCTGGGCGGGGTGATTTCTCGCTTTCTGTCTCTCTGTCTCTGTCTTTCTGGCGAGCGCACACGTTCTATAGCAAAAACCTCTCCAAAAAAATATTATAAAAAAAAGACAAAGAGAAAAATTAATGTTTTAAGAGAGCTTTCTTGCTATAGTGTGTGTGTCCTAGCTGGAGAGACAGAGACAGAGAGGCAGAAAGTGAGAAATCACTGCCTGGGGCCATGGCCATGCCACAGTCTCTTCTCCTTTCTCCTCTTGAGATCTTGAGCTCACACACACACACACACACACACACAAACACACACGCGCCCACTGTGAGTTTTAAGCTGCCAGGTCTGTTACTCAAACCACAGTTGACTACGTGGGAATCCGGTGGTATAACCATTATGCCATCTGTTGTTCTCAAGAAACGAATTTTTTAAAAAAGAGAGAGCATGGTCTTTCTCATTTGCATCCTCTCTCATCTCATACCAGCCTCAGCTGAAGGTCGTCCTTGAGCTATACGAGAGTGATCTCTAACCTACATACATCCTTTGCCTCTGGTCTGCAGAGCTCCTTATCAATTGGTATTTCACAGAGGCAGGAAGAAATGTGAGGAGGAACTCGGCATGCTACCTTGTTTCAGGATAAAGTTGCTCAATTAAAAATAAATGGTAAATGATCATGTTTTCTTTCTTTGTTTTAATAACCAGCACTTAACCCAAGAAACCTGCTTGCTTACATATTTTGTTCAAAGGTCATCTGTTGTCAGTCCTATTGAAAGACGTAGCTATGGATGACTGGTAGAGTCTGGAGGGACAAAATGAAGGAAGGAGCAGATGGCAAATGCGAATGGAGAGCAGAAAAGGAGGAGAATGGAGAGTGAAGGATGTGCAGATGGTAGCTCTGAGCCGCACACAAAAGAAGAAAGAGTGAGCCAGTGTTTTCCCCGCACACCGCTGACTTCCCGGGCTGACAGCTGTCCTTTCTTGTCCAGAGAGCTCTTGATTGACCCAGGGTTCAGACAGCAATTCTGGTGCCACCTCTCGGGGGACCATTGTAAAGCCAGGGCTTCCTAGTTGGAGGTCAGATGCTTGTTGTAAAGAGAAAATTCTGCAGGTAAGCACAATTTATTGAAATTCTGCAAACTGGTGTGGGGCTGGTAATGCTACGGCATCAAACGTGTGGGGGGTGTGTGTGTATGTATGTGTGCGTGCATGCACATGCTTTAGTGTTCTCTTGCACCCACAAACAGCAGCCGTTTCTTCATCACTCTGTGCTGTGTACCCTCTGTGGTATTCAGGTCTAGAATCATCCTTCACCTGACTAGAGCGGTAACTTTTACTGCATTAACTCTTCACAATAATATATGTAATTGTTATTGCCATAGCACAGCGCCATCACTGATATTGCAGACAATCTTTTTATTGATATTTTATTTATTTATTTACTTTACTTTAAATTTATTTATTTACATTCATTCACCATACAGCTTACAAAATGAGATTTCCCATCCAGAATACACTGTATATTGACTCAATCAAGCACATCAACATATGTGTTATCATCAACAAATCATTTTCCATTTCTTGTTTCCTGTATATTTTGCTTTTTTTCTTTGCCATCCTTTTTTTTTGAATTTTTTAATTTAATTTTTTCTTTTCGTATATACATTCAATCGCACTGTCTAGCTTACAATGTGAGCATTTCAATATGTGAACATTTCTTCCCAGTCCCGTTGATCAAAACATCTTCAACCGATAACACCACACATCCCCATCCCATCAATGTTCTACCTCCATATCCCTTCTCCAAATGTCCTTCGTTAGGCCCCCCTCCTCCACATATAACTCATCTGACAGTCACACCCATCTCTTGTGTTTGTACAACAGTTAGTCAATCAGTTTCAGTCATAGAGTGCAGACATTCTGTATATGTTAAGTGGGGACATACAATGTCTCTCCTTCATAGCCTAGCTTGCCTCACTCAGCAGTAAATCTTCCACATTTTTCCACTTTCTGTCAAAAGCCAGATATTTTTAACATATAAAAATCATACATATTGGGCCAGCAGGTGGCGGGGTGGTTAAGGTGCCGAAACCCACGTGACCAATTGGTTTGAGTCCTGCACCCCGTGGGTTGAAAATTACACCCAGCACATATATGGGCATGCTTAAAATCCCAAGAGGAGAGTGGGAATAGAACAGATTACCCTTTGGGGGGGGGGGTAATTTCTAGCCAAAACCTAAGGAAAAAAAAAAAAAAACTCCGATTCAGGCTCAGCTGAGAAGGTTTTGCTCAGCGAGCAACATTGGCGAGGCTGAGCCACATCTGAGACCAGGTTTGCTTCTCAGAACAACAGCCCAAGCGCAGGGTCAGATGCATACAGTCATAGCTAACTGGGAGGTGGGCGGGTGCATTGTGACACAGCAAGACCCTGTCAGAAATACCTCTTGCTCACTCTCTTCTCACATATAAAAATAATCTCAATTCATTCGTTTTCTCTAGAGCAAGGCTGCTGCTACTGCTGCTTCTCACTCTCCACCCACCCACCACCATTATCTTTTAGTTTTATTTCATTTAAGAATTTTTTCAGTTTTCCTACTTCACTGAAAAAATGTTTAAAGGACACTTAAGAACACTCATGTGCAGCCTCAAAAAAAAAAAAAAAAAAAAAAAAAAACTACCAGTCACAACCCCACC